AGCAGCAGCAGCAGCAGCAGCAATGTTATGACAGTCAAAAACGAGGTGCAATATTTCGTCTGAAGGATGTCTTCACAAACCTAACTGCAGAGAAAAGTGTTCCACTCCGTGGCCATTTCATAGCATTTTTACCACACGTGGGTTTGCTCAGCTTGTGGGCAACTCTCTAGCTTCAGCATTTCTTATTCGCGATGCCTTATATATAATTATGACTTGTTGCCCACTAAGACTGCTGCTCTCCAAGTGGGTCGGTTAGAAGCTAGGCTCTCCCATGTCAAAAGATTTATGTTCAAATCCTTCAAAGACATTTCCAGGGTGGGGACTCTTGTGGCCAAGAGGTTAAGGAGGTGTTCGCCTCTCTTTCAAAGGTCCCGGGTTCGAATCTGGGTAGCGACGGAAAATGTCTTCTTTCACCTCCTCTCCTGCTTTCTTGACATTTCCTGTCATCTGCTTTCGTCTCCACTTTTTACCCTCACCCCCTCATCTCTCTGGGCTCTTGACTCTTTCTGCAGCCTTTCCACTGCTACTCCTTTGCTCATTCTTACTGCTGCCTTTCAGCCACACCCCTGATCTTCTGGTAGGAAAGATCTACACCTAGCCTTCTCAGAAAAAGGGCGAAAAATCTGGGAGGTCACGTGCAAGTTGAGCACGTTAAAGATCCCTTGGTGGTCTAAAATCGATAAGAGAAGCTTCGGTCGCCATCCGGGCAATATTCAAATTTTCCAAACAACTGGAAGTTTAATGTGTCCTGCGCCTTTATATGACCTTATGCAGTTGCGAGCGCCGTAAAACAATTACTCACAAAAAAATAGCGCTCGCAAAACAATTATCCCCCCCCCCTAAAAAAAAAAGAAAATAATCATAAAAATATTATTATGTGGACGCTTTTTCAAGTCCTTTCGAAATGAATGTCGCGACCACTTGTGTCTGATGTGGTTTACAGAGTGGCAGCCCATTTCGGGTTCACAGGCCCGGACAGAGTTAATTTGTCTGAACTTGTTCGAAAACATGGTCTTTGTCAAACAAGACTGACGAATAATAAAAACCACAACAACAGCAGCAACAGCGGCAACAGCAGCAACAGCAGCAGCAGCAGCAGCAGCAGCAGCAATAACAACAATAACAACATTACACCGTCGGCCTCACACGCACTACAACAAAAACAACAGCAGCATCTACAGAACACAATAACATCAATACAGACCAAAATAGTTCAAAAAGGTCACTCATTGTCTAGAACTAGAAGAAAAGTAGTTGTCTTAGGAAGGTGGACGCTTAGGAAGTACCATTATGATTATAATACATGTTTTTTAAGGTTGTTTCTTTACACGCAATGTGAGAAGTCAGAAGTGTTCGTTTACTCAAGTGATTGTCTTGGACAGTTTTTACTATACAATTTAGAATACGAGCGTAAAAAAAACAACAAATTAATATGTGAGGCAGCATTGTGAAATCAGGAGCTCTTCAAAATATTGAAAGTGGAGAAATTGGCATTTTCCTGCAGGTAGAGGAATTTTTATCGAATTTTTTTTTTTTGGTTCAACACCTTTCACTTTCATGCCCATTAAACAGCACATTTCTGTGTGGATTTTAACTGAAAAACTTTGATTAAAGGCAGAAGAAATGTAAAATTTCAGTTTCCACGGACTCTCAAGCTAAAGAAATAACTCAACTTCGGCGGCCATGTACTCGCTAATTTTACCTCTGAAACCAGATGACCCTCACCTCCTTCAATCACACGTATCTCGAGTGCGATTCAACATAGATGGATATTATTTTCACCAAAACAAGGAAAATGGACAGGCCTTCAGATGATATCAATAACTTCTAATGACCAAAAAATGACGAGAGCCTGATTCCACCGCGTCGTGCCACATATTATTTTCTATTGTTACTCACTCTCATCATTATCCTGTGTCTCACAGTCGTCTTTAATGACCTCACGGTGTAGCGTAATTCGCTCACATTTCCTCCATAGGCCGAAGTGGGCGTCGATGACCTCCACTGACTGGTTCAGTTGTCGCTCGGAGTCCACCTGACACCAGCGGTCTGTGCTGAAGCCTATGGCGTATACAGCCAGGCCTGCGGAGTGCGGGGGAGGGGGAGGG